GTCAATATCGGTATCGGACAATTCTCAAAGTTGTAATATCGGTATCGAATCGGAAGTGAAAAAGTGGTACCGGGACATCCCTAGTTTTTTTTTAATTTATTTATTTCGAAATGCACCAGCTGCAACTTAGTGAGATGAGGAACAGATTCTTCTTGTCAGCACGTAAAATAGTCAAAATGCACCAAATTTCACAAGAAAAAATATTGTTCCTTGTTTCTTTTTTTTTTTACTTTTATATTGTGCGTTTAGTGTTTATAGTTTATTCTTTTGTATTTGCAGTGCAGTTTCTAAAAATGAATATAGGACACTTCCTCTGGCAGCAGTAAAAAGCTTTTTCTCCACAGTGATTAAATGTCTAATAATAGTAATGCATAATATTTAAAAGTCTTCATTTGAAGTCGTTCTCTGAGGTTTTTGCTGTTTTGTTTTTTTCTCGTGAGCAGTGACTCATGGCATGAACAGTGGATCTGTTTCTCACCYGTCTGCATTTTCACCAAGTTTTTACATGAAGTACAGCATATCAGAGAGAACAGGAAATGAAACGGGTTTCTGTAAGGGAGATGAAAGAAAGAAAGAAAAGAGAAAAAAAAAACAACAACAAAAGAGAAATGAGGCGGGACAGAAATGTGAGAGAGGGAGATGAAAGACTGAGGCAGAGTCGGGCTCTGTATCAAGGAAAGGGGGAAGGCTCGCCTTCCCCCCGGATCATCCACCCTGAGGAGAATAAACTCAATCCATGTTAAATTATAGATTAAGGCCCAGCTCTGGCTGTGGCTCTGCAGTTTGAAGGCTGCGCTGACTTTCATACACTCCTGCTGCGACTGTTGCCTCACCTCTTTACTAAAACCAACATCAAACACACTTCACAGACTGGCCTTCAAAAAATGAATATGGGAATTTTTTCTACCATATGCTCGCCGTGAGTCATTGATAAAATTACCTACAGCACGATTAAATCTGTATATTTTTAAAAGTACTGATTGACCTTTTTATAATTGCTGTCTCACAAAAAGGACGTAAAAATAGCCTTTCATTATCTAAACTGTTTTAAGCTGTGGAACAATCTTTTTGTCTGTGGTGGCCACAGCTAACCAATTTAGCTTTGGTAACGTATACTCCGCTAACTAAAAGCTTTGCTAAAGCTAAATTTAAAAATATAGCAGAAGCTAATGCTAAACCAGTCAAAATAGCAGAAATTAACACTAACTGCTAATTGCTATCCCTAAGACAATTGACGGTTATTCTGCGTCACACGTGTTCGTCTCCTTCCAGCTGACGACTGGTGGGACTGACACAAACCTGTTGATGTCAGCTTGTTAGCTAGTTGTTAGCAGACTAAAAAGCACTGTTTTATAAAGTACCACAAAGTGATACTTGAGTAAAAGTACAAGTATCTTACCAAAAAATTACTTTGGTAAAAGTTAAAGTCTCCTGCAGGAATATTACTTGAGTAAAAGTACAAGTATCTTACCAAAAAATTACTTTGGTAAAAGTTAAAGTCTCCTGCAGGAATATTACTTGAGTAAAAGTCTTAAAGAATGGTATTTTTTGT